CCGTTGTTTGCAACGGCCTTGCAACTATTGTAGCAGCACAATAGTTGCAATTCGGAACGTTCTCTGCAATCTGTTGCTGTTTTTCAATCAGGATTCTCGTTGTTCTCGTCAGCGTAACTAACGTTGTTGTGTTTTTTCACTCGTTTTTTGTTAAAAATGGCCGTTTCAGCATTTCTCAGAAATGTTACGTCATCACTTCGAAAATTTAAAATTTCAAAATAGCAGAATATCTTGACCTTCACCGTTCTACCAATCATCCGATTAACGTCGTTAATCCTTCAAAATCACTAACTCGGAAGGCTTGCTGCTAAAAATTCGAAGTCTGCACAAATTGCATTTGGCCATTCTGGTCGAATGTCACAATTATTCCAATGGAACTATGTACAAATTGCATATATAATTATTTACAGGAATAACATAAAAACATTAAATCATCATGGTAGTATCACGCACCTTAAGAACCACTGTAAGAAGGCCGGATATGGAAAACATAGACGATAGTGAAATCATCATCTGATTAACGTTTTGTAACGTTTTTTTTGTAACTTCGCATTGTAACTTCGTATTGTAACGTTTTTTTTTTCAGAAAGGTATATCATAAAAGGGACCTTGTAGTTACGGTCAGTGTACAAGCTGGATAGGGTCATACCAGCGTTATAAAAATGCATATATGTCAGCAAACTGTATCGTTGTATCAATGAAGTCATATAAAATTTCTTGCACGGCAATCAAGCTGTCCTTCTTAAATTTGGTTTTGCGGTATTGATAAACATACACGAAATTTTAAAAACTTGATTTTTTATTAAAATGTTTTCACGAATGATTTTTTTTGTATGACGAACTTAGGCTCTCAAGGTGAAGATTCGTCCTTGATTGTATTGAATCTTGGCTCCATGTTTTAGTTTGACTATGTAATGAGTATTGTTATTATAACTCTTAATCAGTTTGACGAAGTTGTTTGAATAATGTTTGGCGCAACGCCAGGCTCGTCAGATTACAGTCCACGTGGAACTGGTGCCGCTTCTTCATCCAGCTCTCTGACAACCGCTTTGAATTCGCATGGACCAGGTGCACGGAGCCAAATGTCACCAAATGATTTAAGTGGTGTCAGCCGGCACGGATCGATGTCTTCGGCGGATGGAAAAAGAACAACAGAATGCGAAAACTGTGTACATTTGCAGAACCAAATGCTAAGATTCAAAGAACAAGTTGTTGTCATAAGGGGAAACCTTGGAAACAGGTATTTTCGCGATTGTGTTTGGTTCAATAATCATTAGATACTATTTTTCTTATGTGAATGATGGGCAAAAAAATTCTACTCGGAAGAGGAATTGCTTTTTTTTTATCAGTTTCAAGAAATTGACAACGTACGCTTTAGGAAAACTGAAATGTTTTTTTTTTTTTTGTAAATTTGTCGCGCTAATAACTTAGCTTTTCTGAAAAGGAATTAAATTGGAAGCAAAACATAAGTTATTTAGAATGGCTGGTCTCGAAAATCAGCTCAAGGAAGCCGTGGACAAAGAAAGGCTCGCTAATGAAAAGCTGATGAAAGCCGAAGAGGAAAACCGGTTTCTTAAGAAGCAGAGGACAGACACAGAAAAGTAAAGATCGATTAATTTTTCTTTAATGATGTTCCATTTTTGGTTGTCAAAGAATAGTTCATTTTAGATCTAGTTTCGAAATGAAACAAGAAATAAAGCAATTGTATGAAATGCAATTGAGCGAAAATAAAAGACACATTGAAAGTTTGGAAGCCAAATTGCAGCATGCTGAAACGCAACTTGAAAGTTTCAAATTGGGTGTGCGACTAAGCCTCGACGAGACTCCTTCAACTACACGCAAACCAACTACTACTTCCAGTAACACTTCTTCAGAGGTTCTAAACATGCCTCTTTCCTTGACAGACGAGCCAGATTTGGCGCCTACGATTCCGGAAAGGCCCGCATCTACTTGGAGAAGCTCGGTGCTCCAAACTACTTCTACTCCCAATGCAAACCAGGGGCCGAAATTCATCAACGGAAGCAATGTATCAGCTGTGCACGAAGATGCAAGCAACCGCTTGAGCAACGATGATTATGATATAGTGAGCAGGATTATAGTCTGTGCTATTTTACTACCTCGTTGAACTACCTTTAACTAATATTTTTGCATTGTGTAGGTTCACGACGATGAGCGAGATGTTTTCTTTGACACCCGTCAATCAATTACTCTGAATCCAGGTACGTGGTCGAAGAATTGATATGACTTTGAAAAAATAACTTATTGATCCAGTTTTCTCTAAATGGTTTAGTTTTATGAAAAAAAAGTGTTGATCATAAAATATTCCTGAAATTTAGAAGGTTTCAATGCGATTTGTTTCTTCGAATTTCAGAAGTTTTAAAAATTGTATTTTTTTTTGTCTTTAATTGAGTTCATTGACATTTTTTCAACTGTTTGATGACTATTTTTGACCCTATTGTTTACAAAAGCAAAGCTTGTTTTATAGTATGAAGTCTTTTTTTTCCAACCTAAGTGGCAAATATTGTTGCGACGCAAATTTTGTTGTGACAAAATGTGTTCATTTGATCAATAACCAACTACTAACTACAGCCAATGCTAAGGATATTAACACAGACTATTAAATTACAAATAGCACTTTAGCTTCAAGGTACGATGGATCTGTAGCGTAGAGGCAGGGAATGAGACCCGCTACAAATTAAGTGGGTTCGAACCTGGGCAGGGTCGGATGTTTTAAATGAACTTTTTCGTATACTAGCTGAAATGCATCCGCTCTATAAATTGAGGCCTGTTACTTGGTAAATTTATTTTTTTTTTCAAATTGACTGGTATTACTGATGCGTCATAATTGGCTTGCGTCACTTAGCCATCAAATTCTACTCATTCAGTTTTTCCCAATAGCGTTATTGGTCATATTTTGCTTTTGTATGCGAAGTTCAACTTCGCACCTGTGTTAACCTTGCGACTGTAGCCTCTGTTTCTTTTAATTAAATTAATTCATCGTTTTTTTTCACTGTATCCCTAGCGACTTTTTGACTGAAAAGTGCGTGGTTTCAGACGATGTCCCCAGTACTCAATCGGGCGTTCCTCCTCCAGAGCGACCAGTGCATAAATATCCTAAATGGGAGGAGCAGGTGTACAACAGCATTAAAAACTCTGGCTTTGTTTTGAACCAACCCTCTCATGATCTCGGTATGCTTCCAGTTGACAAGAATCCTCTCAAGTTTCCCCAGGGAATGTCTACTGTATGCAATGAAATCGAAAAGTCATTTGAGGATAAAACACAAGGTAAGCGGTATTCATTGTTACGAGAGTTATATTTTGATACTAGTGAATCAAAACCACGAACAATGAATAGACTGATTGACCGTGAATATGGTCATTGCTATTTAAATAGGTCCAGTTTTCTACCTTCCATTTACAAAGCATCTCATGATTAACAATTAGGGCCGTTTCCTGCATAAGTTGTACATAAAAAAGTTACGGGAATGAGTTGTTGGTCTGATTTTTTAGCAGGAAATATTTTGTTTGACAAACTCATCTTGCACTCAAATTGATGCATAAAGAAAATTTTTCGTTGAATCGCAATTTTCATGCATTTTGATTGGCTGAAAAACGTACTCAGTGATTTTTCTCTTTTTTTAAGAGGGGTAATTGTGAAGAAAATTTAGAAATTGTTGATCAGTGAATTGAAAAATAGTAGTGCTATGTTTAGTGGTTCCCCAGATGTACGCCAGTGTGGCCGGAGTGGCTTTCCAGTTGAGCGATTACCCCTCGGACACCTGGGCTAGACTGTCTCTGTATGCCGTGGATCCCCACTCCGCCAGCAGTGACGGAATCACAGTGGCAAAGGAGAAGGACAGCATAAGAGATGAAGAAGCTGGGCCTGGGGATGGTAGGTCAAAACGGATACATGAAATTCGATTAGTAGTTAAAGCGAAACCTATTTACATATACGCTTTATTGGAATATACACTTCTTTAATTAAGAGAAATGAACCTAGTGAAAACTGGTATAAAGGTATTGGTATTTTGTGTTATTTAAGAGTAATGAACGTAGTGAAGACTCTTAGATAGGTCTTGGTAGTTTTTTTTGTTTGGTTTTTAAGAAGTCTTAAAAACTGTTCACGCTCAATTTTGATTTTTCGCCGTTTGACTTGCGATATCTTTTGAAGTTCCTGTAATTTCCATTGTTAAAAGGAAGGCAAACTGCACTATCGAACGGCAAAAGTAGAAATGTAACGAAAAACGTAATTGACTTATACAGTGCTGAATTAACTCATCCGGACGAAACGCACAATTTGAAATATAAAACGCGTTTTTCTCCAAATGGGTTGATGTTTAATGACTATCGATGAAAACAAAACTTGACAAGAATTCTCGCAATCCCCAAAAAACTCAACAAAATACGCAAAACCTTAAAAAAATTTAACAAAAGAAATTTTTCTTTTGTAGATTAAAATTGACATTGTCCTTGCGTTATTTGTCTCTAATTAAGAACAAAACGGTACAAGTTAGTGTATCCCTGAATAGTGCTTCCAAACAAAAATGGTATTTTTACGCTTGCGATTAGCAAACTGGAATATAGACTTTTTTCAGGACAACAATTTGTTTAACAGAATCATTTGAATCAATTGGTATATTGGTTCATAATGAAGTCAAGTTTCTAAGCGTCTCCGGCACACTTTGTCTGGAGGTAATCAAAACGCCTGGAACGGCAAAGGTACTGGGTTCGAAACAGACCGGACCTGTTTTTGTTTCAAACGAGAAATAGTCCGTTTCAAAAAATTGTTGGCTAATTATTGTCTGCTTATGTTTTGTCGGCTTAGTTGCCTTATTTGTAGTTTTTTCATAAGTTTGTTTGCATTATAGCTGCTTTTACTCTTCTCATTAACCTCTGTTGTTTGTAATTTTACTAAAATTGACATCGTAGTGACCTAATATCGAGTCGCTTCAACGGAAACATGTTTTTAATGCTCACCTCTGTATCGGGCAAAATGCTAAATTTCTTAGTAGAAATATAGTTCAAGTTTTTCATGATAACAATTTTTTCCGGCTTTTTTCATGTTCTCCTTTTTTTGGCTTGATAGGTTGCGGCGTATATTGTGTTGGCTTATTGGCCTCATATTGCGTCTTTCGGCAAGCAAAAATATTTTTTGTGTGCGTGTCTCTTGAAATAGAGTGGGACTTCTTTGTCTGAATGTTTATTTTCGGCTTTTTTTCCTTTCTTGGGCTTAATAGGTTTCGGCCTATTTTATATCGGCTAAGTGTCCTCATATTGAAGTGTACAATATCTTCTAATGCTTGTTACACAACCGATTGTCTTGTCATGTGTTTTTTTTTCAAAACTAGCCTTATTCGTTTTATTAGATCTAGTTTTGTTGACCTTTTCTATTTTTCCTTTCATTTTTTTGTTTTGTATCGCAAGTGATGCGAAGCTCTGCTTTGCATCTGCGTGAAAGCATACTTTGCAAATGCATGTTCCTGCAAATATCTTAGTTTGCGTAGGTGCTAAATTTTCATTAACTTCTTATATTGATTTCTTGAGATCTACGCTTAGATAACAATTTGGCATTGTGTCGAAAATGCGTCACTAACTTTATAGTTGAATATGGCTCTGACATCCAGCCCAATTTGCAATATAGATTTTTAGTGTACGGTTGAACTTCCTACACAATTATTTTACCCTTTTTCTTTTCGAAAAACAAATTTTGATTATGATGAAAATTTTAACGGTCAATTTGTTTCATTTGTATGAACTCCTAAAATTTTTCCTGCGAGCAATATCAGGATTACAATCGAAAAGTGCTTTGATCGATTTTTGTTAATAATCGATGTACTGTCGTAAATGGACAGAAGATCAACCTTAAATTTGATGAAAATCCCTAATTTGAAAACCAAAATTCCAAGAGCATCACTTGGTTACAGAGGAGCTAAGCTTTTTAGTTTGCTGAGACACAATTCATTCGAAAGTTATGTATCGAAATTCTAAATTTGATCGCCTTGCTCACTGCTTTTGCGATCTGTTTATTTAGGCAATAAAGAGCTGATCAATTTTTTTATTGAAATTGTTTACCTAAATACATGGATAGTGACTGAAATTGACCGAAGTGAAACCCTTCATTGTAAATTGTTTCAACAGTTGTATATGGTTTTGAAAGCGTTTTCGCCGTTTTGAAAATCACACGTGTGCTTGTTCGCTGGTTACTGTTGCATGCGCTGTTAGGTGTCTGCCTACCGTTTAACGCCCAATCAGTTCTATTGATGTTAGAGAAGCTTCAAAGGATGTGGCTTTTTTTTAGTAGAAGCAGTAATTGTACAGCGAACTATTTCAAGTTTTGTTTTTGAAACCGAATAGGGGATACCTGCGACTAGCGAGTTTCAGAAATTTTGCGGATGAGTTTCAATTTATTTCTTACTACCCTTGCGATCAGCAAGGGTATTGAAATTGGGTTGGGCACTTTTTTTCCGTAAAAAAATTTGTCCGCAGGATCTTCAGTTCTAAAGGATCACGTCTAGACGATCTTCACATCTTTAGAATCTTGAAAGTTCAAATGAAAGTACTTGAATCATTAGCTTTTAATTAGTTCAGGCCCGTTTCAGGTTGTAATTAACTTTTCAAAAAAAAAATCCATTTTTTGGGTTCCTGGTTTTTTGTCCTAGTTTCTGTGGGTCCAATTTCCATTTTTTAAACGCCAATTTTTTATCTGGTAGGGTTTTCATATATTACTTTTTAAAGCATGGATTTTGTTCCAATTTAATTAGTTTTTCTTATAACTGAAACTTAACAGGTTTGTAAATTTACCATGCCTGATTTTGAGTTTTTTGTTTCATTTTTTTTTTCGGTTTTTTTTCTTTTCGTTTTTTTTCTTTATATTCAAACAGTTTCAGTTTATGTTATATTGACTTAGTCAACTTATTTTGCGTAATTTTGAGTGCCAAATGTATCCATTTGGGATGGTGTTTCCGTTTGGATGGGTGGTAAAAACTCTTAGTTTATTGAAATATTTTACGACAACAGTTTTGTTTTCGGCACAGCAGGTTTCGACCCAAAGTTTGTCGCCGCTCGAAAATTTGAAGCTTTTTTTTGCTGTAATTTTTCAAGTTTCGTCAAGTTATTTTTACAAGTAATTTTTTCCAACATAATTTTTTCAGATTTCTTTTTTTTTTCATTCACTATTTTGTAGCGCAATGTGTTTTTTGCATTGCAAGCGTTGCGAAGCTTCGCTTCTGTGTTTGGTTTTATACCGACTACAGTGGAACAGTTACACTTAATATGGATGCAGAGCCCAGACCGTATGTCGTTAACATGTCTAGACAATGCCATATATCTGCTGCTTTATGTTAATGTAAACTTTGACATTTTTTTTCCAAAGTTTTCATTAATATTTTCGCACATACATTTCACTTTCGTTTGAAGATATTCAATTTTGTTTCATTCCATAGAACGGGCAGTGCTCTGTAACCCAATGGGTTCGTTAGCCGTCTCCTCATTGTTTTTGGTGCTTCTTGTTATAGTTTTGTTTGCATATTTAACTTTAACGAGGAGAAATAAATTCTTCTTCTTTATTATTATTTTCCAACGGTCAGTTGTCGATGTTCAATTCTGTCTGCTGGAAACGCTTGTTTCTCGACTTAACGAACCAACAATATTTCAAAAACCGATAATTTATTCAATTTAACGTTGAAGCGACTCGAACTTATATCTCTGCATAGACCCAGCGTCTAAATGGCTATATCACACAGCCTCGACCAATATTGGTTGAAGACTTATATAAACCCATTTGATGGTTGTTACAGGTAGAGTGGACTCGCCCTCGAAGCAACAGAGTTCTTCTGCGGCCACATCATCCCTTGCAGGATTCAGATTGGTGGGCGATGATTGGAACAGTGCACAGGTATGAAGTTTTTTAAAGAAAAAAAGAAACGAGGGAGGGCGAGATAGTTGAGTCATCTGATTATGCGTAATCAAATTGTATGACTACTGCCAAGCGATATTAAGAAGCAATGTTCTGTTAATATTCCCTTTCCCGAATAGGGAGCCGAAATTTCACTAAAAATCAAATTAACATCTGTGAAATTGGGGTTAATCAAATCCTAAGTTCCTGATTTTAGTTGATTTGTTCCTGATTTTAGATGTTTAGCTTGAAAAATCGTGTCCCTCGTGTATGTGCATGTGACTGCTAAATGCAAGTTAGATTTTTTGGTGCAAAAATGAGAGCGCCTCCTGTATTTTGTGACGATGAACAAACAGTGCATGGCGTTTTTCATGTAATTGCTTGATCTTTTTTAACCTATCTACAGGCATCTGACGTAAGTTTTGAGTTCAATTTATTGGAGTAATTTTCATGGCAGAACGCCTAAATGGCAGAAAAGTTCCAATAAATCAGCATACTTTAAGTTATCCGAAACCGACTGATTCTCACGCTTATTTCATCAGAATTTTTCCAGGATTGAATTCTGATTGGCCAATAAATGTTTCTGTCAGCCGGTCTTTCTGTCACTAGGAATTCTCTCCGAATTACATTCATTAAAGTTAACATGACTGATTTTCAAATCCAAAGATGGGCAGTCATTTCGAAAATGCAGTCTGCAGAAATTAACCAGGGAGCTGTTCTTTTGATACTTTTTTTACTAGGTAAAGCAAAAATTAAACAAAGGCTATCATTACGACATCGCAGCCCCATTCTGTGTTCTTTTAACATTTTATGAGATCCTTTTTTCGCTGTTTTGTAACTTGCTTAGATGAAATTAATTATTTATCTGAATCCAAGAAAACCCCAATACTGAAAACCCACAAGAAAATGTAATGTCTCTTTATCTGTTTCCAGTTAATAGCAAATGAGATGTGTTGTTTTTTACAAAGAGGCTAAGAAAAAAATAGAGTTAAAACTGTTTGAACCTCATGAGTTAGTGGTAATCAAGTTCCTCTTCATTCTAACTTCATTAACCAAATTGATTGACATGACCATTTCGAAATACTCGAACCAAGTCAACCTCTTCAGCTTTTGTTTGTTTTGTTCTTGGTTGACTCCATTCTCCAATTTAACGGTTTATTAACCCAAATTAATAGTGTACTGGAGACCAAGATCTTATGGATTTAGAATCATCGTAAAACTTAGAACCATGTCAAAATCATGCGTAATTATCATTCAATGACTGCAGAATATTCAGTCAGGAGTTTTTTGTTTTTGTAAGGTTTTTTAAAGCTTTTCAATCTGATGAGTTATAGTTAACCAGCGTTGAATCTCAATGTAATCATATCCATTTTTGGTGGTTTAAGAACTAGTTTTGAGTAAAGCTGTTTTTGTTGTGTTTTTAGGCGGACTATTGCATCCCACCAGACGCTATTCCAGAGGACATCGAGAACCGAGACTACATCAAAGAGTCCGATCTGGACTTGATTCTGTCCAAGTCCAGTACCATGAACTCCCTGGACAACCAATTGACGTCAGTGGCCAATGCGGAACTACTAACTGGATACCTTCAGGTGGTGACTGAAGAAATGAGTAAGAGTAGCTATGCCTCAATGGTGAGCCAAGACTTGCCCAAGTCAGTACTGACGAGATCCTCTTTGAGTGTGCTAGGAGCAAACAACAAGTCTATCTGTTTGGGGCTTGAGAACATAAAGAGTGTAGGAGTGATACCTCAAGGCAACGGAAGACTGTTTAAAGTCACCTTTCATGACGACTACTCGGCAGTTTTGTGCAGTGAGAATAGCAAGAGCTGTGAGCAGTGGGTTTGCGAAGTAAACAAAGCCCTGCTGCAGAAACCACTGAAGGGTAAGATTGTAATTGTTTGATCGCTTATTCAGCCCCAGGGTTTTAAAGCAATTAGCAGAATGCCCAAGTAGATAAAAGAGGGTTGATTTATACCAAATTAACATGTAAATTTCATGTCTCATGCTGGGAAAACCTTTCATTTCTCTCGGCTTAGTTGTGTCCGCTTTTGAAAAGATATGGTATTGCTAATTGCGTAATTGCTCTGACGTACGAATAACTAAATTTTTATCTCAAAAATAGTAGTTTAACAGCTTATTTCTGAGTTATTCTGTAATTTCTGACCAAACTGAAACAGGTCGAAAGACCTACCCGGTTCTTTGAGATTTCTCATAAATTGATTTCTGCGAAATAAAACACTCTTTGACTCTATAACATGATAATAAATGTTCACATGTGGTAGGTTAATGTTAACAACATGTTTTCACATGAGTTTGTAATATTTTCCTGTTTGTTTAGGACAGCATATATCGATGGACGCGCCGGTAATCATGAAATCATGGCTGTGTCACATAAGAAATGGACGCAAGATTGACGTTTGGGCCATTTTGTCAGACAATCAATTGCATTTATATGCTTCCCAGAAAGACAAACGACCTTCTGAAAGCATCAATCTTATTGGCGCTTCGCTTTTCGAATGTGTAGTGAATGAGAATCAAATTTCAGAGACAGGTGATCATTCATTATTGACATCTGACAACCGATTCTCAGGAAGATCTAGCTCGGGAGCGGGATCCGTTACATGTACGAAAGACTTGGACGGTTTCATGTTGGTAATCATTGCTCAAAAAGCAAACCCAGTTTTCATCGTTTCAAAAACGCAGGATGAATTAATTGAGTGGAAGTACCAATGTGAATTATGTAGTGGAGGTGGAATTCCGTCCTCAGGGTCAGTTTTTGAGCAAGCTATTTCGCAGTTGATGCGCAACCCGTCCGAGTCTCAGTTATGGAGCTCGCCGCCGTTCGCATATGAGCATGGATTCCGTGAAGAGCGGTTCGAACCTCTGACAAGTCTGAAAGCGCCTTCGGAGATTGACAATGCAGAGAAGATGTGGAAGTTGTTCCTGAGGTGTCTTAAGTGGAAATATGATACAAGGAATAACATGCAAGCGGCTGCCTCAGATGGATACTTTGTGTCGCAAGTGCAAACAGCTTTTAGAACATGTCTTCCAGGTAGTGCAGAAGGTTTAACCGAAATTGTGTAGGCTTTATTGAGCTATTACACACATTTATCGCATTTAATATCTGTAACGCTTCAGCCATCGCCTGGCTTTTGGTTTTATTGGGGTCGGAACTTTCGTTGCTACAGTGATCAGCAACCGGATATCCTTGCTCTTCCGACCGCTATAAATGGGGACAAATTTTGCCTTGGGGTGTTTTAGTTTTTTTGTTTTCCACGCAAAATCAGGTACCACAGTAATTATCGGAATGGGGGCTGGGTGATATATCATGTTAAAGCACTTTCAGTCTCGGTTCGAACGACATGAAAATTGTTTTTAAGAGTAATGAACGTAGTGAGTACTCTTATATAGGTCTTGGTAATTTTTTTGTTTGGTTTTTAGGAAAAAGTCTTAAAAACTGTTCTCGCTCAATTTTGATTTTTCGCGGTTTGACTTGTGATATCTTTTTAAGTTCCGTTAATTTCCAATGTTAAAAGGAAGGCAAACAACACTATCGAACGGCAAAGGTATAAAGGTCACGAAAAACGTAATTGACTTCTTTGACTTCTACAGGGCTGAAATAACTTATCCGGACGAAACGCACAATTTGAAATAAAAAACGCGTTTTTCTCCAAATGGGTTAGTTTTCAATGACAATTGATGAGAAAAAAACTTGTCAAGGATTTTCGCAATCGCCAAAAAACTCCACAAAATGCGCAAAACGTTCAAAATTTGTTTTTAAATAAAGAAATTGTTCTTCTATAGTTTAAAATTGAAATTTAATTGTTACAATTTTTTTGGATATTGTTTTCTCCGTAAACTTTGTTGGGCTACGTTGGACGCTCAAAGTGATATAATTTTGACAGTAATTGACTCAGTAGTTATGGCGTAATTTTTGGTTGATCAAAAAGCCATAAATGATATGTTTTTCGAGTCAAGTTTTTTTGTCCGAAATGCGCAAAACTAATTGCACCATTTTAAATCTGCGAGAGAAATCTGCCTATCAGTTGGTTATGTTCTAAGTTGTCCCAGTGTCGAGAAAAACCGGTTTGAAGTTTTTGAGTTTTGGTCCAATTTCGAGCGAAGGAAACGACCGAGTAGAGTAACGTTCGTTATATAAAAACTTTTCATTTAGTCTTAAAAAACGTGATTTTATTCATTAAACCTATTTTTGGAAGCTTCATCTAGCGGTTCTGTGGCAATAAAAAAATTTAAAAGATTATTGAGCAAAAAATTATAATTTTTTTGTGAAAGTTTTGATTTTCTTGTTTTTTGTTTTTTCTATTTTCGGAGACAACTCGTATGGATTATGCATAATTTGGTAACTTTTTACGCGTTTGTATAGTTCTCTCTTCGCATCAGCCACAAAAAACTTTCTAAAGAATTAAAGAAAAAAAATGTTTTTTTTTGTAGTTTTTCTAGGAATGTGGTCGGAACATTCTGCTACTCGCACAGCGAATGGCTATCCTTGTTGGTATTTCAACATGTTCACGCTTGCGATCAGCAAGGGTTTGCAACCTGGTACTAGACTTATCCCCCGTAAATAATTTAGTTTACAGAATCAACTTTGTACACATTCAATTTAGTAGTAGTGATAAATTTCACTCTCTATTAATTATTTAACATCATTTTTGGCTTATGTTTTATCCGTTTAGTCACCTTATATTGCGTAGAATTTGATTTTTCGAATTTTTTAAATAACTTTTTTACTTTTTAAAAATTCCGACTTCCAACTTTTTAAGGTTTTTAATAGTTTTTCAAGTTCCTTCCTCCCTTGGCCTAGAGGTAACATGGTTGCCTTTGCATCGTCCGGTTTGGGATTAGAGTCTTGGCAGGACCTTGTTTTTTTAGTACAAATAGAATTTCCGGAAAAAATGAATTTTTGGCTTAATGTGTATCTGCTCAAATTGTTTCGGCTTAGTTGGCCTATCGTTGATTTTTCTTGTTCTGTAAGCATTTTTCCTGAAGTTGTAAGTTTTGTTGATTTAATTCTGTAATTTAAAAGTTTACTAGCCCTGAATTTTTACATTTCACTTTTTTTTTGCTTCAAAGCTTTAATCGGCCTACATGGTGTCAGATTTTGCTTTATTCGCATAGTCAACAATTTTTGTGTCGCTTGGATGGCAAAATTTGATCAACCTTAAAATATTAGTTCAGGTCAGGTTTGGTGTCGAAGTTCAAGAGCCTAATAGCTGAAAAACTTTTCTTGACAACAATTTTTTCAGGTGTTTACCGCATTTTCTCGGCTTCTGATTACTAAAAGTTTTTTAATGCTGGAAGTTGTTTTTTCAATGTTTTTCTGAAATTGATTTTGTTAATTTTTTTCGAAAAAAAAATCAGCTTTTTAACAGTTTTTTTTGGACTTTGTTGTTTCTGTATCATTTTCTGCTCACTAGGTGGCAATGCTACGCTTGCGTTGTATCGTAAGTGATACGACGCTCCGCTTCGCCTCTGTATAAAAAGTAACTGCTTGCAAAAAATAAGTTCAAAAAGGTGTAGTAAAGTTTTTGAATTGGCACTCAAAGTTGCATCTTATGTTACCATAAAATCTTTTGAATGTTAATGATCGAAGTGAAGACAATTATTTCGGAATGATAATAGTTCCTTCGGACTCTTAAAGTGGTCGCGATGTTTCTTTCTTTCTTTTGTGGAAATTTCTTAAAGTGCTCTAATAACAAAAGAAGAACATTCAGTTTTATAAACGCACATAAGAGGCTTTTAGTATAAATGCAGTTCTTGAGTTCAATTGAAGTTTTTTTTACTAGAAGGTAGGCAGTTCACTCTCGAATTTTGAAAGCTGATATGGCGCAAAAAAGTGATCGATTTCTAGTTTCGAAAGCGGATCTTAATTTATAGGTTTCCCAGCGGAATAAAAACTTCCTAATAATCCCAGTTTTCTCAATTTTGGTTAATCTCATCAAAAAAATGTCAATAACTTTTTATTGAAATTCAAAGGGCTTGTTTTAAAGGGCTTTTTATTGAAATTCAAAGGGCTTCTGTTGGCTATGTTTTTTGTTGATGGAAAAGAGTGGTACGCCAACGCGCACAAAAAACTCTCTCGCTAAATTGCAAAGCAAAAAACAACATGCTTATTGGTATAGTTTTTCCTTCAAATTGAAAAGTTGGAAATTGTTCAGAAAAAAAGTCAACCTTTTTTGTTTCCTCGATTCAATTGTTACTTTTCCAACTCTCTGTTGGCTATTTTTTTGTTCATATGTTGCTGTTAAGTTGATATTGGACAATACGCTTGACCAAACTTAATCTGTAACAAATCTTAAACTTAATCTATAAAAGTTGAGAAACCACATTTTTTTAATCATCATTTTTTCAAAAATTATCTGTCAGCAACTAAGTTTATAATTAAATGTATAGCAAAAAGTACTGATGACAAAAATTTGTGAAATCGATGACTTTTTGAACGCGCATTTGTTGATTTTGCCCGATAAAATTCTCAGCTGAATAAGTTAACTCGAAAAAATTAAGATCTTGATTGTTTTAATCAAACTAAAACAGACTCTTTTGAAAACTGAAGAATGACAATTTCATTGATCAGAAAACAAGTTTGACCGCGTTGAACATTGAATTCTACGTCAGAAAGTTTTTTATGAAGGTTTGTGTTCATTAATTCAATAGATTTTTAATCTTCATAAACATGCAGACTAATTTGACTTGTGATATTTGACTGTTTCAGAACCGAATTTACACAACGAGGCGTGCTGTCAACTCGTGCGTCTGTGTAATACTAAAGACTTCCCTACATACTCAGTGACCGCATTTCAACTACTCAGCCTGTTTGTGGTTCTAACTCAACCCAAAACTGCTTATTTATGGCTACTGAAACAGTTTCTAAGCCGGGTCGCATCGAATAAAACTGTCGAGGGGAAATATGCTCTGTACTGCTTGAGAATGTTGTCCAGACCCAAAAATATAAATCAAGCTAAACGACGGTACCCACCCTCGAGTCTGGAAGTGCAGTCTATCACCCAGCATAATCCGCATGACGTAACTCAACCAATGGCGGTTCCAGTCAACCTGCCAGATGGGGCGACACATTATGCCGGCTGTGATGGAACAATGACTGTAGACCAGTTTTTGTACCAGTTGTGTCTGAGTCTGGACATAAGAGAGCCAGCGATATCCGGCTATGCGTTGTATGTGTCGAGTCCCTTGAGTATTACTCCTCACCACGCAGCGCAACAGGCCCCGAATAATTACGTGGAGTACAGATTGGCGCCTCACTTGATAGTTTCGGATGTGATCTCGAGATATGAGATGATCGCGAAGAGTCACCTGGCGTCCCAGGGAATGACGCCAACTCCGACCGACTTCTTGATGAGGTTAACTTTTGTATAATGAAACCGGAATGATTCACTAGCCTCGGGCAGTTCTCTTGTAAACTAGGAGTCCCATGGTACCCTCATATAGGCTTAGTTTAACGGTTAATCTTGAAGAAATTTGTACATGGCAACAAATCTATTATCTATCAAGATCCGGGCTTAACTATCTCACCACGTTTTAGCTTTTTCAACGTATTATTTTTTCATGTTGAACAAAATAATTTTTTCAAGTTTAAGCTATATCGTATATTGCAATTGTTAAGTTTTTTTTTTCGAATTTCGATTCAGTGTTGTTTTGCTATACAGTTTAAAATAAGCAGCCAATAGTGGGATGCTCTCAGGGTTCCCCAGTGGTTAAGAATTTGACCACCAATTATGAATGCCCAAATCCTTTTAGCTTACGAGATACCACAGTTTTTGTTATGTTTTTTTTTTAAATTAATCAAAGACTTAGGATTTGAAAAATTTCAGAAAATTTTAAATTTCTATCTGTATAGAAAGGTTCTATCAGGGTAATCGCGGGATTTGCGAGTTTTGCCTTCAAATATGACTGCTCGAAATATGAGGTTTTTTGTGATTTTTTCAAAAAAAAAATCCAGAAAACTTAAATCCAATTTTCTTCAAAATTTGAAAAGCTCAACCCTTTAGTTGGGGCTGTCAAAGTACTCCCAGGGATTTTTTGAACTCCTCTTCTAACTGAAAGTTTAAACTCAATTTTTTAAAATTTGAAAATGTCAACCCTGTAGTTGGGGGCTGTCTAATAACTCCCAGCGGTTGCAAATCTTTCCTCCAAATATGACATCTCAAATCCTTGTAATTTTCAAGATATGACGTTTCTGGGTTTTCAAAGAAAATTAGAAAATTGACCCCAGGATGTGAGATATATTGGTGAGATATATAAGGGTGAGATATATATTTATTGACTTTCGTTCTTCTACAAAAAACATATCTCATACTATCACACAAGTCTTTGTCTTGAAAAAATCATGAAACATGATATTTCATCTAAATAACGTTTCTTAATGATATTGTAGGTTTTTTCTTTTCTAACCAATCCTGAGAAATTGATATTTTATTTCAGGAACTTTGAGTTTTCGCCTAATTGGAAATTCTCAACGCTGTAGTTGGGTTCTGTGAGAGTACTGCTTGTTTGTTTTTTAGTTCCGAGATGTTTTAATGTAATTTCAAAATTTTTCAAAGAGCAGATATAAAAAAACTTCACAAAATTTTATGGTTTTTCAAAATTTGAATAAAAAACTTTACAAAACTTGAAATTAGTATCCCTATGATTGGGTGCTGCCAGAGTACACTCAAGGATGTAGATCTTATTTTCAATATATGTTGTTTTTAGTTGTTAGAAGTTCGAAGCACCGGAGGTGCGTTACGTGCTAGTTTCCCTTCTTGGAGAGAATTGTTAGCAAGGTCTGTCAGCTTTGTACGTAGATCATATCCCTTGTTTCAGATGCTAAGCTGTAAGTCAGTAGCATGCGCAAGTGGTGGGGCCGTTTGTTTGCAAAATTTTCAGAATGTTTCGCCAATCTTACTTTCTGAGCTCTCTGAAAACACTATAAAGACCCTATTTTTTCAAAGAATTTCGGTACCGCTTTTGGGCACTTATTGTGAAGTTTGACAAGAAAATTTACTCGCCCTCAAATTTTTTGTATGGTAGCGCCAAATGCGAAATTAGAAAAGGTCTAGGATTTGTCAACTAAAATTGAATGTAAAATATTAATAAAGGATGGACCCTTTGCAAAAAGTATTCGCCAGCCAGAATTGACATTGTAGAGGCAATCGTGTCCCCTCCCCTGCCCGCAAATTACTGGTTACAGCCAAGTGTGAGGCTTGAAAAATTTAGGCATGGATTCCACCTCCTATAAAGTGACAATAATTATGGTTTTTGATCAAACATCAATTACGCTATAGCTACCGCGTCAATTGCTGACAAAAGTACTTGAAAATAGGGCTATTATGTGTTGGGCAATAAAACAACATTAAAATAGAATGCGAAGGAAGATCTTTTAGAGCAATGACTTGGTTTTGATTGAAAGACTGCGTTTCCACCAGGTATCACAGTGACACGTCGTACAGAGAGTGTTTTGATATATATGTGAAATTATCACTAGAGCGATGGTTAAGGTTTTTCCAAAAGATGTGCGAGTGTCAAGAACAACCGGTTTCAATTTTTAAGAGTAATGAACGTAGTGAGTACTCTTATTTAGGTCTCGCTGATTTTTTTTTCAGGAAAGTCTTAATATTTGTTCACGCTCATTTTTTGATTTTTCGCGCTTCGAGATTTCTTTTCAAATTCAGTGCATTTCTCTTGTTAATTTCTCCAGCAAAAGTGTAAAAGTCACGAAAAACGTGATCGAATGCTAATCTCGAAAATGGAAGTTAATTATCAGATTTCCCAGCGAAATAAAAGCTTTGCCTATTGATCCAGTTTTCTCAAATTGGGTTAATTTCAACAAAAAAGTGTCCATCATAAATTGTTTTACAGATTCAAAGAGCTTTAAGGCCATCTTTTCTCGAAATTCAAAAGTTGAAGGTTTTTGAAAGAAACAAGTCAGTTTTTTGTCAGTTTCCTTGCGTTCATTACTCTTTCCCAATTGTCAGTTGGCTATAATTTCTCTTTTAGACTGTTAACTCATTAATACTTATTTCAAGCCGCTACTCTAGGACTCAAACCTAGTAATAATGGCAACTTGTTTCTGTACCGAAGTTAACGGTCGAATTTACTCTTAAAAGAAATTTGTTGGACAACTATTAAATAATCGGAGCTATTATACAGTACGAAATATAATTTTCTGATCAAATTTTATAAACACAGGGCTGATTTAAGTTAACTTGACAAAACGAATAAATCTTGAAATTTAAATTACGTTCTTCCCAAATCTGGCTGATTTTGGACAAATGGAGACGAATTATATTTAGAATTTTTGCAGAGTTAATATTGTGCAATTTAGTTTGCAAATCGGGACCAAATTTCAACCCCAAAAACGGATAACAATTTTGGATTTGGGTCTATCAAAAGATGCTCTATAACTACGGAATCAACTGCTGACAATAATACGTCAAAGTAGGGCTCTTATGTAGCCCAAAGAAATGTCAGAAGGGTTTAATCTTCTCTTTTTTGTATTATTAAATCTTTGTTATTTTGATAATCAAATTTCCTAAATACCAAACTTTTGCGAAAATGTTTGCAGACAATACTCTCGCTTAACTTAGTTAGGCTCACTTTGATATAGTTTGGTCAGCATTCGAACCTGTAGTTTTGGCGTTACTGTCGACTAAAAAAGATCTAAATTGACCGATTTTGGGAGTTAAATTTTGGGCCCAAGTTCTGCAAAACCAATTGCACCAAATTAATTCTGGTGAAATTTAATTCTGGTGAAATTAATTCTGGTGAACTTTTGTTCTGAACACTTCATTTTGTCAAATGCCAGGGTTGCATCAAAATCGATTTAAATTTAAAAATCAAATGAATCAGATTTTTAAAATTTAAATCGCATTTTTTTACTTTAATTCCGATTTGCTCGAAAACTGCGAAGTATCTTGGAAAAATCAAAAACAGAGGCAGGAAATTTATTGAAATGAAGGGTATTATGGAAACTGTTGATCAACTTTCAGTTTTGGCTTAGAACCGTCATACAAAACACCAGTTTTACCAAACTGGTGGGTAAAAGTTGGCATATAATTGGCGGGAAAAACACGCCACTAACTAAGAAATGTGGTATTTTCCCAACTTTGATTTAAATCGAACAAAACCTCAATTCTTAAATTTGATCAAGCTCAAATTCAATTTTTATAATAATAATAATTTAATGTACTTCCTGCGAATCGCTGAGAGGATCTATCACTAGGACTTAACAGTCCTGTCGCGGATAGTCCATTTGTATTATCTCCCCATATTCCAGACTGTGTTATTTTGTTGAGCGAAGATTTTTTGAGACTCAAGGCCGTTTTTTTGCGTCTAGAAATTTCACGTGGTACCACTATTGTAGCCAAGTTTGGTCAGGCTGTGAAAGACCTGAAGCTAGAGATCAAGTGAGAGCTCGTCCTCACACACTATCATTTCCATGGCATGGGATCGAATACACGATCTGACTATTTCAAAGTGAGCGGCTTACCCCTATGCTAAAATTTAGCGGTTTGTTCATTTTTTTTACGTTCCAACTGTCTTTGTGCTTAGATTCCATTTGAAAAACCGGTTTTCGTGGAGACTGCTACAGCAAGGGGAAACGGATAGGGAGAGAATATTCTCAGTGTACAACTACGCCAGCCAAGTGTCCAACAGTCTAGTCCCTGTCAGTCGAGACCTCGCGAACTACTTGACCGGACTGATGACCTTCATAGAACTGGGCGAGTTCAATGTTCACGTGAGCAAACACACTCTGGGCATTAAGATTTCTGAAATCATCAGGCAGTATTATCCCAGAGCCTACCTGCAGTCATTGGACAGTCCGGCACTTAATTTATTAAGTGTTACCATTCAGAATTATTGGAGCGAAGTTACGAATGCGAGAGCCCAGGCACATGACTGTATTCGAACTTACCTAACCGCTGTCAGATCTTGGAAGTTCCATGACTGTAAATTCATACCGCTGACCCGATCCAAGGAAAAGGATTTGGCTATTTTATCAGTCGGGGAATCTGGAATTGCCCTGCTGAAGATTGTCTCTTTTGAAGTGATATTTTTCTTCTCAATTTCAGCACTTCTGTCATTTGGAAGTCGTAAAAACAAACTTTATTTGTCGTTCAATTCTGAAGGCAACACACGAAGGTTTGAGCTGCTGGGAACTTACGCGCAAGTTTTTGAAGCTAGCAGTTCTATAGCGGAATACGTGAACGAACTGAATTGGCTAAGACGACACGTGATTGAATATACGAGGTCTTCCGACTTGTCTTCTAGTGGGGCGGGAAACAACGCGAATTCGGCGAATGACTCAAATGGCAATATTGGGAAACATGACTCGCTGATGGTACTGCGATGTTGATTGATTGAGTTAGTAGGGGCACGGTAAATTAGTCTGATTGAAATCTTGCCGCAAAAATGAGCGCCAGCAAAATATAACAATGAATCTAGCCAAATAAGCCATCAAATGGCTTAAAGATCACATTAATACCAGATAAAATTTCGTTTTGATTTTAGTAAGTCTTGTTTTTTCTCGACTTTTTTTTGAAGATTTCTGAATTTTGGCGTTTCCACTAAAGAGTTCGCTGTTTTTATTGCATTACCTTTTCGTAGATTGAATTTGCTGTGCCCACTATATTAATAAATAGCTGAGAACAATTAAATCATCGAGAATATGTTGAAGAAAAAATCTCGTTTTAGAGGCGCTTTAGTTTTGATTTGATCGATTGACCTTTTCTATCTTCCACTCCTATTTGACTTAGTGACTCATTTTTGAGTTTGGTTTAGATAAATTAATGATGTATTTGATACTTTTACATTGACGTCATTCTATCATCTAGTGAAGAATAATTTTACATATATTTTACTACATCAAACTGATATTTAAAAGCTGATAATTAAACTCTTTTTTGAAAGTTTTTCCCAACTTTTTCTGAGTTGACCAGGTAATCATAGAAGACCAGGGCTAGTTGAAGCGGTTTGGCTTAGCTGCGCTTGCGTGATGTTTTTTCTTCGAAAATTTTCGATACTTAAATTTAGTTTGCGTTCATTTGTGCGAGACCGAAACATTTTATTGAGAACATTTCTCTTAGTTTTGCGGTCATTTGATCGGCATGATAATTATTGTTAAATTTTTCTTGGGATAGTTTTTGCGGGCTATTATCTCTCTTATAACATTGCGTAGATAGTGAATTAATTGGGCTCCAAAATTATTCTCAAACATTGCTATCATTTTGTAGTTAACATTATTTTTGAGATGGCATATATAACAAGACTGCTCGTATCAGGCCGAAGCCATATGTTCCGACTGCCTTTTAAGGTTTATGGAGCAGCAGTAATAACATAAAAAATGAAGTGAAATAAAATAAAATGAACATTTTTTTTTCTAAAATTAAATTTTTTTTAATGAAAATCATCCCCCCACACGCCATATAAAGTACAAAAAGATAGATTTCGTTGCTTGTAACAAATCAATCATGGCAAATAAGCTTCGTTCAACCAATTTGGAACGATTTATAAGACGGATTAAATCTCCGCTTTTGCGTTAATAGCGCGAATTATATCGCGAGTTAATTGTCCCAAATTGGTCAAAATGGCAATCTTTAAACCCTCATAACTTTACGAAAAATGATCACAGGTGAAATATCTTTTCAAATTTAAGCTCAGGACAACAATGGTTTTCGAATGATATAAAAAAATTCCGTCAAAAATAGCTAGTTAAAAAGTCGAAATTTGTCTGAAGAAAAAAACCCACCCCGAGCACAATTATTCCGTTACTTTCGTATCGAAAGTCGGAACAATAAGTGATCTCGAATTTAAAAAGAGCTGCTATTTTTTCATTTCTTCTATTAACATATTCCGATAGTTGTGAATGAATCCGGCTCAGAGATTAATGATCTAATTATTGCAATAATAAACACAAAGTTAGTTATTTTGTCCTGAAAACTTAGCGTGGGTGTCAGATTAAAAATTGCAAGATGTTCTAATTTTTAAGAGTCGATGAACGTAGTTCAGACTCTTTACAGGTCGAGATGTTTTTTTTTTGTTCAGGAAAAGACTTTAATATGTTCAGGCTCAAATTTAATTTTTCGCGGTTTGACTTTGATTTTTTTCTAAATTCAGATAATTGTTCCGACTTTCGATACGAAAGTAACGGAATATTTGTGCTCGGGGTGGGTTTTTTTTTTCTTCAGACACATTTCGACTTTTTAACTAGCTATTTTTGACGGAATTTTAAAATATCATTCGAAAGCTATTGTCGTCCTGAGCTCAAATTTGAAAAGATATTTCAGCTGTGATTGTTTTTCGTGAAGTTACGAGGGTGTAAAGATTGCCATTTTAGCCAATTTGGGACAATTAACGCGTTATCTATTTCGCGCTATTAACGCGTAAGCGGAGAGTTAATCCGTCTTAGAAATTGTTCTAAATTGGTTGAAAGAAACTTATTTGCCATATTTGATTTGTTACAAGGAGCAAAATCTATCCTTTTGTACTTTGTATGGCGCGTGGGGGGATTATTTTCATAAAAAACTTCAAATTTTAGAGAAAAAAAATTCTTTTTGTTTTATTGCATTTAATTTTTTATTGTTATTACTGCTCCATAAACCCTAAAAGGAAGTCGGAACATTCAGGGCTTCTCCCTGATACGAGCAGTCTTGTTTCTTTTGTTGAAAAGGAGCAAACTCTGTCGAACAGCAAAAATCGAAAGGTCTCTGAAAATATGATCGAGTTCAAATTTCGAAAACGGAATTCGATTTTCCGATTTCCCAGCGAAATAAAATAAACTTACCTATCAATCCAGTTTTTTTTCAAATTCAATCAATTTTAGCCAAAAAATTGTCGATCATCAATAGTTCTTGAAATTCAAAGGGCTTTAGACGCATCTTTTTGTTTTGAAATTCGAAAGTTGATATTTTTTCTAAAAACAACTCAGTGTTTTTTTCTGTTTATTTAAGTTCATTGACGCTTTTACAACTGTATGTTGCTTATGTTTGTTTTTGGAAAATTTGAACATTCTTCAAATCAAAACTATTTCAGACACATAAGAGGCAGTATTCTTTGCTTTGAAACTAATGGTGAAATCAGCTTTGCCCGAGCAGCAGTGGTTTCGACACATTAGAGGGCAGTCTACATTCCTTGAAAGTATTAGAGACCAGTGAATTACTATGAAAGTATTTTACTATGAAAGTATTAGAGGGCAGCGCATTAGAGGGCAGTGTTCTTACAAAGAATGTAATGGTGATATCAGCCCTTTCCGAGCCGCAGTGGTTTCGACACATTAAAGATCAGTCTTCTTATTATGAAAGTAATGTTGAAATCACCCTCCGTCAAGCAACAGTGGTTTCGACACATTAGAGGGCAGACTTCTCACTATAAAAGTAATGTTGAAATCAGCCTCGTCCGAGCAGCAGTGGTTTCCACACATTAGAGGGCAGTCATCGTGCTTAAAGTAATGGTCTAATCAGCATCGCCCGAGCAGCAGTGTTTCCGACACGAAGGCAGACTTCTCACTATAAAAGTAATGTTGAAATCAGCCTCTTCCGAGCAGCAGTGGTTTCGACACAGTAGAGGGCAGTCTTCTTACTAGGAAAGTAATTTTGAGTCCGCCTCTTCCGAGCAGCAGTTGTTCCGACACAGTAGAGGGCAATCTTCTTACAGTGAAAGTAATGCCGAAATCAGCCTTGTCTGATAAGCAGTGTTTTCGACACATTAGAGGGCAGTCTTACTATGAAAGTAATGGTGTAATCAGCTTTGCCCGAGCAGCAGTGGTTCCGACACATTAGGGGGCAGTCTTTTTACTATAAAAGTAATGTTGAAATCAGCCTTGTCCGAGCAGCAGTGGGTTCAACACTAGAGGGCACACTTCTCATATAAAAATAATGGTGAAATCAACTTTGCCCGAGCAGCAGTGGTTTCGACACTTTAGAGGGCAGTCTTCGTACTATAAAAACAATGATAAATTCAGCCTTGTCCGAGCAGCAGTGGTTTCGACACTTAAGAGGGCAGTCTTCTTGCTATGAAAATATTGGTAACTTCAGCCTTGTCCGAGCAGCAGTGGTTTAGTGGGTGATGCAACTAACTTTTGGCCGTTTTGTTGCTTGTGTTTTGGATGAGGTGTTGGCCTCTGTGTAAAAGAGTTTTTTCCTCTGCCTGTAACGAACTAATAAACGTACGACTAGCGTGTAATCATGCAAGAGACTACTTTAAATCTGTTTCAATTAAAATGTAATTACATAAGTTATGTTTGCCTGGAGAACTGTTTTGCGTCACGAATAGTGTATCAAACAAAAACATGCGTAATCAGAGTATTTTTTACTGGAAAAGTTTTCTTACGAATTTGTTTATGAAACTAACCCTGCATTCGTATGGAACATCAATATATTGCAGGCCCCTCTCACCTTGTCTAGGGACCCACGCCGTCAGGTCATATTGTCTAAGGTTCACGTTTAATGGGTTTGGCGTATGCTAAATCTGCTTAGTTATGTCATTTGAAAAAAGTGAATCATTTAAAACACAATTCCTTTGCCGTTTTTTTGGTGTCACAGTTAAAAGTGCGAATAGCTAAAAGTTTTTTATGACACTAATTTGTTTTGGCTTAATTCATAGGCTTAGTTGCCGCCCGGTAAATGCTTTGGGTTGCTTCGCTATTGCCGATGAGTGTTTCCTGACATTTTTCCCTCAAAATCGTGCCAACCAATATATGATAGTTTTCTTGGTAGATCTATGTTTTTAAATTAATTTTTACCCTTGCGATAAGCCAGGGTGTTGCAACCAGTACTCGATTTTTTTCTTTGAACAACTTTGTTCACAGAATGGACGAAATTTATTTCTATATGTGAAATACATTAAGCGGAATTATGATTTGTATGGCCTGCATATGTAAATTGGCCTTGTTGCAATTTATTTTTTATCAATGCTGATCAGCTTATTTTCCTAATGTTTTAAATCTATTTATTTTCGTTGGTATGTTATGAGTATATTATACTTGTATATATTACTCTTCTTAAGCCCTCCATAAAATTTTAAAAAATTAAACAAAAAAAATAGTTAATTTTTTCAGAAACTTTTTTGAAAACATTTTGTTGGCTTTTTAGTTTGCTTACAGTTTTGGTAGAAAATTTTGCAAATAGCAAGCCTTAATAAATATTAAAATAGAATTTTTTGGGTTAATATTTTGGCTAACAAAATCACTGAACTATTTGCTCAGTTTGCTTCAATAGTATATCAGGTTTTAGGTACCATTTTGTTCCGTTTAGTTTGGAGTTAATGCCTGAGCGTGAAACGACAAAGGTTATGGGTTCGATGCTGGCTAGGACCAGATTGGTTTGAAAAATCGCTTTGTTGGGAGAAGTTTAATCATCGGGCTTCGGTTTTTCTGCTTATTTTTTGTCAGCTTCCTCACAAACCATGCTGGGTTTTTCGGTTGAAACAAGTTTTGCTGGAATGGAAATACCTTTTGATTCCGTCCTGTAATTTTTACATTT